GGTAATCCAGATCTGCTTATGGGTAAATCAGTAATTATCTTGTCACATTTAAAACAAAAAATGCAAATTGTATCACTTTTGTAATAAAATAGGAGATATACTTTCTATCACTACAAATATTCCCCTTTATGTCTTTTGAAAGAGATGAGCTTTCAACTTTTTTTTAACAGCATAAAAATATAGAAATAAACAGACATTATTGTTTATAAAAAAAAGTTTTATTTATTATATCTGAGTTGAAATTTCAAACATAACGATAATACAAATACTTTTAACAAATAAAAATAACACACATATTCAGTATTAATATTCATAAAAACAATAAGACGAAAATCCAACTCTGTGCATTTTCATATCTAATATATATATATATATATGGCAGGCACAAATCTCAGTCCATAACACATATTGTTCGATGGATCATAGATCACCAGCTTACAAGAAAAAAAATTGCTTTGAAAAAAAATTTTTTTTTGATGTGCTATAACCACTTTGTAACAAACTGATAAATATAACATAACTTAACAATAGGTAAATAAGTAAGAAATAGATTTTAAACCAGCTGCATATAGGAAAATTGCTTAAAAATTGACTAAAACTTTTTCATGAACGATTTAGAAAATTAAAAAAAAAAAAAAAAAATACACACAGAGTTTTTCCTAATCATCACCCTTAACATATATTTTTAGAATCCTTTATATAAAAAAGTATGCACATTATGTGCTGCAAAGTGTTGCTTAATTGAGAAAGAAACAAAAACGCTGTCGCAATTTATTGAATTACTAGCCAGAAAGAATNGTCGATGAAATAATATATACAAATAGTAGAAATAATCAGTTTAACTTCAGAAATTTGAGATATGAGAACAACCAATATGCATTTCATTTTGGTTAAAGACTAGTCTGGTTATGATTAAACTATGATTATGGACCAGGAATCCAACAATTGCTTTTCAATTATTTTTTAAATTGAATGTTCAGCATCATGATTTTATATTATTCTCATGATTGTTTACAGAAAGCTTAGATATTTTTTTGAGAGAAGTTTTTGGTAAACAATACAGAACACTTTTATAAATATTCCAATTGAATTGACAGACGAGGAAGCAGGTAATCTTAATAGGAAATCTATTGGAGAAGACCTGTTTTCTGACACAACCATTCAATTGTTCTACAAGGTGAACTCAACGGTTTTAGCTTATAATGCCAACAAAATGCAACACTAAAAACAATTTAAAAAGTGCGGTTAAATACCAGTTCACAAAAGGATAGATAATTCTTATTATCCTACTTTTAACAGAAAATTAGAACTATTAAAATTATAAAAAGTAAAAATTCCAAAAATTGATATTTTTATTGTGCATTTTTATTAGATTACACGAGTACTGCATATGTAATTGTGAAAGACCGAAATTAGTGGTTGTCCAGCTTTGACTAGTGAATATCAATAATTACATTGTTGCTTTGATAAATGTCTGAAATATATTCTAGATCATATTTAATATTAATTTGACAACTACTTTTGTTTGGTATTTCCTACACTGATATTTTTTATGCCACTGGCTGGCATACTTTTGTCTTGCCTGGCATTCAGAGTTTTTCCAAATCAGATATCAGATCTATTCAGATATTAAAATTTTGAATATATATTAAAATATCAATAAACAAATTAATATCAAATATATAAAACAATGTGATAGTTGACATTCAGCAGAGGTCAATATTCTCTAGATTTCAGTAAGATTCATAGTTCCAATTAGAAAAAATTATAAAAATTTGGTGAAGGAGTCAATAGTATAATGACATTAAAAGAGCTTTTTCACTGTCAAGACTTTGTTCATCGCCTTTCGTTGTTATTAATTTTACTATTATGAGCTTTTTATCACTAAATATTAAAATTCACACTAATGAAGAACTTTAAATTCTTTAAATTGTTTCAATGATCTGTATTTAAAAATAAAAAAAAATTCCAATAGCTAACTAACAAATAGGTTTATAGCTCTTTTCAATTAAATGCAAAATAAATCCTTAATATCAAAACTACAAATATATATACATTGAGTAAAATAAAACCGAATCACTTAGTGTCTACCTTTCTAACAATGCGCAACATAAAAATAACAATTCAAATTAATAACATATAATAAAATATAATGGCACTTCACTTGTTTCAACAATAACATAAGGAAGACATTTTATAATTTTTACAAAAACGTCATGAATAAATGCTTTAATAAATCAGATAGCAAAATAAAAATAATTAACATTTTGATTTTTTTAAAAAAAGAATATGCACTTTTAATACCCAACTGCCTTTTGCTTATAAAAGTTTGAATAATTTATGCAGATATATTGCAAGATGAACAAAATCAAGGCGAATATAAAAATTAATTTGGTTTTTTGTAATCAATGAAACTTATTATGAAATAATGTAGAGAGAACACACATTTATGCATAACAGTAAAAATAATTTTTTTTTTTTGTTTTTGAACTTTTCTTATTCATTTATATGAGTTGATTAAAGAAATAGCAAAATAGAATAAAGAAATAGAATACATCGAGCAAAATAATAACATTTTGGTAAAACCATAAAGCAAACAAAAGTAGCAAACAAAATAAAACTCTTAATGATTTATCACATATTACCAGTATAGTGCATTATTTATTTGAAAATGCTTGTCAAATATCCATACTAAATCTCATGCTTAAATACACTACATGGGCAATAAAATCAATACTATTGAATATATTTTCGCGAAAGGGCAAACTAAACTCATAAGTGATGATTGAAGTGAACAAAGTATCGATTTTAGCATACAGATTTAAAAAAACTTCAAAGTGTCTACAAAAACTATAAAAAAAAACCTGATATTTTTGGACAAATTTTATCAAATTTCATTGATTTTTGATTCGTCAATAATTTATCAATTATGATTTATTTTTAAACATAAAATACATCACAAAACATTTATAACTGCTGTTAGAATTGGGTCTAAACAATTCAAAAAAAATTACGGGGATATTTTTTATCGAAAAATATACGGCACTCATAGGTATCGCAAATACATTAATTTTCTGACTCTTATGATATTTTATTTAAAATTTACTTATTTTCACTATTTTAGTTTAGTTTAAGTCATAAAACTGAGGAAAAATTATAACAATAAATAACTAAAAATTAGCTTTTTCTAAGAAAAGTACATTCAAAAGGCAGTAAGGTACATAAAATTTATTAGTTTTAGCTACCTAGAAGACAAAAACATTAAAACACTAGGATAATAACATACTAATTATTGGTTTAAAAAGAAAACTAAAAGGATCAAATGGTCATAACAAACAGCATTTGAGTATTTTAATACCTAATTTATAACTACTGATTTACTTGTACTGTAATAAATAATGTACAGCAGTGTAAGAAAATATTGTTTAAAGCTATTGCTTTAATAGGAATAGAAAAGAATGTTTAGATTTTATTCTTAAATCAGCTGATGAAAATTCTAAATACATCTCATTATAGGCACTAGAATTATAGATTTTATGAACAAGACATAGAAATAGGCATAACCTACATTTAAAAAATCCTAAATATTTTACTACTAGTAACCAACACATGCCTTAAATAGAGTGCATAAATTTCATTTAATAAGAGGTAACAAAGAAAAGCTAACTAGTTGGTACGTATATATTCAATAAGATCTTCAAATAAAAAACAATGAATACAAACTATTTTACTTTTAAGTAAACAAAGCAACAAATGAAGTTATTAAAAAATAAATAAAAAAACCTAATTTGACCAGAAATTTTTTTGATTGTAAAATTTATGTACAACAACAATGTTAAACTTATAGTTTGTACTAATTTCTATAAAAAATATACAGCTATAAAATTCAAATAATAATGAAAGCAACTTTACCATCTCATAGCAATTTATGTACATTTGTAGTGAAATGTAATAAAAAAAAGCACCAATATTTAAATTACTGTAGTTAAACTTTATTGACTCTTTCAAGAGCAAAGTTTTTATTTGAGGTTGATCTACTATTAATGCTCTATTTTAAGAACACATTAATTTCTAGAAGTTTAAACCTATGTTTTTATTTTGTCCCGAACAATTATTTGATAAGGGTACTGTACTTTAAGAAATTAAAAACTCTTGACATTTTTTTGAAAGGGATAATATATTTAAAACTTGGAAAAAATTTTAACTTTTTTAAAAATTAAAATATACTAGTACCCATTATGATTGCATAATATACATATTCAGAAATTCCTATGAAATAATGTTTTGTTTTACATTTTCTGATCAACAACCTGGTTTAATAAAAGAATAAAACCAACTAGCAGAAAACATATACAACAAAAATATTTACTAATAACATTAAAAATATAAAATTAATGACATCAGAAAATTTGTGTTCACAATTACTCCTTCAAAGCATACAAAATTTTTTAGTTTTGTAAAATGGATGTTTTAATAAAAAAAGAATTGGAAATTATTATTTCTGAAAATAATGTTATAAGTAATATTTACTTTTAATAATTATAGGAGAATGTGAGGCTTTATTTTTCACCAAGAGTAAAAATTAGTTACAAAGTTCGTCAACAGATGACGTTATTGGCTGTAAAAACTATGTTTTTTTACCAACAGTTACTTCCATCCCATCAGTTAGTTTTGTCCTAAAATTGAAAAATTATTTTGTAGTATTTCTCAGTTACCAACGTCATCTCTTAACAACCATTGTAACCAATTTTTTAAAATTTGGTGAGAATATGCCGCATGCTTCAATCTATTTTTCCTATTTTATTTTATTTATTTTTAAGATCAGTAATAAACTTTGTGTCTATCTGGAGAACTTCCCGCACAGAGATTGAAGCAGACTGATACTAAGAAAACAAATCAAAATGCATTTCAAAGTGGAGAGTTTTTGATACTTCTCTTGATCAACCAAGTCAAAATCTGTTCTAAATGTTTAACCAACATTCCTATTTGAATCTGTTTCCCCTCGTAACCAAAGACACTGACAGTTATTTTAAATGACTAGCGAGGGAGTTCTTCGGTTAGACAGATAGTATTTTACACAATAATTGATGCTGTAGTTGATTTCTAAGGGAAAAATAAATGAAATGAAATCTAAATTTATTCAAACCTCATATAATTTTTGATAATAGGGAAAGGGTGTATTAAAAATATTTTCATTCTCTTTAGTGTTTTTAATGATTATTTATATGATGTCATAAAATTTAGAATGACCAAAAAGAAAAATTTGAAAGAATATATCACATCGTTCTTGGTCGATTCGAATAGAGCTGGGAATGTTCATATTAGTGATTGTGTAAATGGAAAATACTAAAACATTGGATAACAAAATACTGCAATAATGTAATCCTTGTCTTTTTAAAAACAAAACAATAAATGCTACATTTACAGCATAAAAATTATACTGAGAAGAATTTATACAATGAGATTCACGTTTGAGGAAAAAATAACACTAAGATTATCAGATTTCTTCAAGTCAGTCACCTGAGAAATAAATAAAAATAACATATGAAACAAATGAAAATACCATCAAAAGTGTAAAAAAAGTTCTTATTTACAATAAAAAGATCTACTATCCCACCTGGAAATAAGTGTTTTTTTTAAAAATTTTATTATACATGCAGAATTATTTACATTAAATATAACATAACGTTTTAGTATATGCTGAAAAAAATATTGCTTGGTTATAACCAAAAAGATTAGTTAAAGAAATGGTTATGCAAATAACTATTTCAGTAATTTTTCTGCCTTTTAAGTGTATAATGATAAATTTACTGAAATGATTTTTTGTAACACAAAATTTGTTATGTGATTAGTTTTAAATTATAAATTGCTTTATAATTAAATTATAATTTGCTTTAAAGATAAAAAATGGAATTTCAAGAAGCATTGTATACATTTGTAAAATGAAATGTACTTATCTTGTAGCACAAAATATGTTCATTTGTATTTTTAAATGCATGAATTCTTTATTCGCAGTAAATTTGCAAAATAATAATCAAAATGAAACCTTCATTTTTTAAGCAGTCCAAGTAAATATAATATGAGATTTTAATGAACACACAGAAATGCTGATTAAATTTAATGAAGATTAAATACAAAAGAAAATATCATGAACAACCAATATTTTCATTTACATTCCATAAATAAATAACTTCATTTAATGTTTACTCTATAACTTTGTCTTTCTTTGTAATTAGGCAAATTTTTACCAAATAAAATATTAACATACATTTTCATTTTGGCATTCATGAAAATGTAAAATATAAACAATCTCAAATTTTATGACAATTAAACTAAACATTTAAAATATCAGAAAGTCTCTGTTTATTTCTTTTTATTAAAGTATTTAAATGTAACAGAAAGTATTACTGCTTTTCAGCCCCTAAGCAATTTTGCAGTTTGAACTGAACTTATCAAAAATCAGAAAACATTCTCTGTTCATTTTAAGAAAATTAGGAAATTATTCTTACGATAAATTTTAAAGATTAACAAAGCCTATTAAAAAAATTAAATCCTTTTAAAAAAATTACAAAACAATGTTTTATGCCGCATGTTAGACCTTCTGACAGAAATATTAGCACATACAACAGTTAATTTTATTCTCCGACCAGAGCACACAATTCCTGCAAAAAATTTTTATTTTGAAAAGTTCGTCTGAAAAGTTTTCTTATTTATCGGTGCCCTCTGTTGACAAATTTTTTAACTAATTAAAAAACTTAATGAAACTAAATATCTTACTTTCTTACTATAACACAGCAGTTCTATCTACTTCCATTTTTGCATGAACTAATTTTCAAACCGTTTGTCATTTCTTGGACATTTGGTAGGTAATTATTACAAAAGATCATTATACACTGATACTTACTTTAAAACTATAAACTATAATGCATTTTACCTACAACTCGTAAGTAACTGCATTACAGGAGTCAAATGAGCTATCATCATGCTTGCTCAAAGCATGAAGACTTGGACAGGTAGTGCTGTGGACCAGAGCCTCAGGGGTTGATTCTGAGGAAGATGAAGTAGGACTCCTTTGGCGATAATTAAGCACCTCATTGACCATTTCTTCCGGTAAAGAAGCCCCAACAGCAAAGTGGATTACCATACCTTGAAACCAAGGCTGAAGTTGCTCAAATGGAGGCCTTCAAATAAAATATTCATTTTTTATTATGTTGATAACATTAGAGTGTTATTAATATGAATTTTAATTAATTATCAAAAATAAATGAGCTTTTTGGTCCAACTTGTTGAAAAAAGGGATATTGTAATTACATAGACCCTAGGCTATTTTAAAAATAATATTTGACAAATTATATTATTAAGGTTTACAATAATATTTGTTTAAGATATTGAAAAATTATATTCAGCAGAAATTAAAAATAACTTAAAAACTTTATTTGCCAACTAAACCTTTTGAGGACTAAACTTGTATTAAATTTTTCAATATTTTATTTTATTGTCCTTTTGAGATTCACCAAACTAAGAGAAAATAAATGTGCTTCATTCTTAGAAACAAAGCAAAGAAAATATTGTTTGGTTTATATCGCTATCTAATTATTATATTAAAAAAATTTACTTATAATATTTACTTAATAGCATAGTATTAAAAATACTAGAAACCAATTTTTCATAAAGCTGCAAGAAATATATATTTTAAATTAATTATATATTTTAATTAATACTTTAATTTTAAGACATTTCTTTTAGATATGATTCCTCAAAATTGTTAATATATTTTTGAGCAGTTGATAAGTTCTCAATATGGTCACAAGTTTTTGGAAGAAAAAAAAGAAAGCCCAGAGTGCACTTTATGAGTTAGACAGTACAAAACTGAAAAATATAACATTATGTTTTTAGTTCGAATACCTTTTTTCAGGGTCCAAATCACAGCAAAGAAAGGCAATGTTGTAGAATGTTTCTGGACATGTGGCACAAAACTTTTCTTTGAAGACTACAGTATTTAATCCAAAGTCATGGCTCCTCGGCAAATAGTCAGGATCAGCCAAAACTCTGCCAATAATCTAAGAATATATTGAAAATAAAATGTTACTACAATTCAAATATGACATCTTTATTTATTAAAAATGTAGTGTCATAATTAGAAGATTATATTACATCTGATCTAAAAAGAAACAAAATGATACTATTGCATGTTACTTTAGGTTGATTTTTATATACAGTGAAACCTCCGTTAAGCGGACATTCATGGGACCAAAAAATTTGTCCGTTTATGAGAGTTGTCCGTTTACGGGAAGGGTACCCTAATAACGAAATTTAACACCGTAAATTGTTTTTAGAATATTCTCAAAGATGTAGAAATAATTAAATAATATCTACAAGGATACTGTAAATATCTACAAGAATATTTATTTAAACAATAAGAAAGATAAAAAAGAATATATAAAGAAGTTTGATATAAATACATAATTCTGGATGTAGCTACAGATAAATAAATATAATTTTCCTATTAGCATAGATACTCAAGTTAGACATATGATACCAAATAGGAGCGTACTGTCCTCAGTCCGTTTCAATTATTAGGTTCACATCCCCTTACACCTACTTATCATTTGATAGGGAACATGGTTAATACCTTCTTGGAAAATAAACCTCCCATGATTCACAGAAAAAAAAGTAATGCATACCTGTAAGTCATGAGGACCTATGGAGATGATTATTCACAATTGATCAGCTATCAAGTGTCTGAATAAATGTTTCATTTATATAAACACCTCAAAGATTATACTTCTGTTCTCTTTTTTTTACCCCAGTTGTGTTAAATACAGTCTTCAAATTGATAAGAAAATTAAAGAAATTTTCAATGGGGAAGAAGCATTGAGAGAAGTCATTTCAACTTGAGGGGTCTCATAACCTGTGTGGTCCAGATGAAAAGATCAAAAGATGCCGATGTCAGAATTATTTCAGGAGTGCAGTACCATTTTCTCTCCTTTCTTTACAAAGATAAGGCAAGGTGACAGGAGAAAGATTAATTTTTCGGTGGTGAAATAGCTTAACAATATTTTTAGTTATGGATAAGGCAAAAAGTTTTATTTACATGCTTTAAAAATGGTGAAAAGTTGAATTTTTTTAGCTTGCAATTTATTTAGAAAAAGTAGTGTCTGGTTTGTAGAGATAAAAAACAACGTTACAGGATCAAAATGACTGTCCGCGTCCGGTTACGGGAGTGTCCGCTTTGCGGAGAATGTACGTAATGGTTTATTCATAGAAGATTCCCGGGGAATTAAAAATATGTCCGTATTAAGAGGCGTCCGTTTTGCTGGAGTGTCCATAACAGGAGGTTTCACTGTATATATAAATTAACACAGAAAAATATAACTGGTTAAATAACACGGAATTTAAATACAATTTCAAAAATTAAACTTCTAAGAAAAATTTAGCTTGTTTACACATTCTCCCATAAACATAAGATGATACTTTTAAAGTTTTCAAGATTAAACTTTGGTTTAAAAATTTTGTTACTGTTTACATCAAATAATCAAACTTAAAGCTCTAAAAAAAAATTTATTTTTTTTTGAGCTTATCACCATGCTGAACAGAATCGATCATCAAAATTCAACAACAAATTTTAGCTATTTTAATTTATAATATGCTTTGTACACAACTCTTTCTTTATTTTTAGAACACAGCAATATTAACCCTATCTGAATCCAATTTCGAACAATAACTGTAAAGAAAATTGAGAAAAAAAAATTAGTTTATATATTTTGGTATGTTTTCATGTAACAGGTAATAGATTAAACTTAAAGCTACATTAAAAAGAGAATTTGCGGGAAAATGCAATTTTTTTTTAAATTTAATTTTGATTGGAACACCTTTTTTTTCCTTATTAAAATGTATTTCTTTTCATGCAAATTAATATGAAACAGTTCTGTAGATCATTAAAATTTTAAACTTTTATGAATAAACCATTCATCAGATTCAATTCCAAACCATTTATATTTGGTAACTTTTTTAAACATAATAAGTTAAGTATTCATGCTATTAAAAAACTGAAATAGTCAAATTGACTATTTTTACAAAATGACAAATAAAAAATAAATAACTAAAACTAAACTATTGGCAAATTGTAAAAATACACATTTTTGAAAAATACATTTATTGAAAAAAAAAAGTAATACATTTATTAAAATGCATTTAATGAAAAAAAGAATAAATTTAATGATGTATATAATGAAAAACCATGTGAATGTGTGAAATAGGATTATTATTATTTTTTTTTTTTTGCCTGCATAAACACCCTTCCTGTGTTTGATTTTCTAAAAGTGTACGGACTCATAGACTAGATTAGTTACGATAAACAATGACAAATACATAAAAAAAAGCACTTTCAGGAGCTAATATTCCCTGTTTACCATAACTATCATTTCTGTGATAAGGAAATTTGTGAATCAGTTAATGAGTGTTCTGCATGAAAAAATAAACGTTGAAAAAAAAGCTGTGGAAGAAAAATTACCTCACATAAAACAATTCCAAAAGAAAATATGTCTACTTTCTCATCATACTTCTTCCCCTTCATCATTTCAGGCGCCATCCAATAAGGATTTCCTACAACAGTATATCGCTTTTTCCTTTCATATTTTTTTGGAGTACTTCGTTTTCCATATCTTCGAGAGGAGTGATGAATATTATGGTCAGAAATTATTCGAGCCAGACCAAAATCAGCCACTACTGCAGTTCTGTCCTACAAGACACAATTGATACTTATTAATAAAATATAATTTTGTTATCAATTTATAACTACTCTATTAAAAAAAAACCTTACAAATAAAATACATTGTGATAAGAAATTTGATTTTAAGGGTGTCCCAAAATTTATGTAAGATTTGATTTTGTAAAATATGTGCCAAAAAATTTCGAATAGTTCGGGGTTATGTAAAATGGAGTGCTATACAAAAGAACATGTTTTCATTGTTGGGTAGAATTTTGGGCATCTTTTGTGCTATCTTCTGGTAGCGCAATTTCCTGTTTTAGTGTTTCAGTATGGCTCAATTAAGTCATGCCATTCAATACAATAGAACTTATTTCTTTGTGGTTTTTTAAAGTCTAAAGTTTATAACAAGTATTTGATTACTCACACTTTGAAGGATAAAATGGAATGCCCTATTTGGAAAATTCTGCAACAACAGGGTGGCCCACAAGTGAATTTGGGGACGCCCCATATGTTAAATAAACAAAAAAATTTATTCTCCTTGCTGTTGTTGCTTCTAATGCCACTTGCCACATTAGCAAGCCTGCTTGGCGAAGCCGAGCAATTTAAGGCAGAGAGTGTGTTTCTTGTTTTTCAGTGGCGCCATCTAGGGCCAAGAATCCGTCTTCAGCCACATCGCACGTCACACCCGTTTCTCCTTGCTAAATGAAGTTAGACAAAACTCACTAAAGTTTTAAAATATGCGCAATTAACATATATTTAAAGACGGTGTACAACCAGTGACCTAGGAGTCAAAAGCAGCCATTTTAAACTAGTGCTAATTTATATATATGTATGCGTGTGTGTGCAGGGGTGAAGATACAAATTTAATGCATCGAAAGATCCTCTGTGATTTCAATTCCTCTGAAAATAATTTTTTTTAACCAAAACAAATGCGATTCAAATATATATTTAAAAATTAATGATGCAAATAATTTATTTAAGGAAAAAAGTCAGTAATAAAATTGATTTTGTCCATCAAAGTTTTAATTCTTTTTAAACTGAAGAATATATAAGTTGCTATCAAATGATATAAAAAACTTAATTTATATCATTCTTGAAAATCAAATTTTCTTTTTAGTGGCCCTATTTCAAAATAGGTTGTATGTCCATAAAATATATCTTTTTATTTAAAAATATCTAATAATTTTAATATTAAATTTTCTTCCTGCATCTATAATTTTTTTTTGTCTTGTTAGTAAAAATCTTTTTTTTTAGAATTGTTTAATTAAAAAATTGTTCAAACATTAACAAGTAATAAATGCGTTGCTTCCACCTTTCGTTATCATGGAAACTTAATCAAAAATATAAACTAAATGTAAAAATACATAATATTTTATCGTATGAATGAAATGTAACATTTACATAAATTTAACTATTCTAATATTATATTTCTTAATCTAAATTATATTTCTTGAACTGTCAGTATGATAAACATAATAAAAATGAATTTCAATAGATTTTTACAACTTGTTAAAAACATATCTTTATAAAACAGTTAAAAAAATATAGCAAAAAAAAAATTAAACATTGTAATACTTAGGAAGAGTTACAATTATATGCAAAAATGCATAACTCATAAATTGTAAATATGATAAATATATTTAAAGTGTAAATAAAGAGCAGATGCAAGTAAAAATAAAGCCCATACTTCTTTTACTAGACAGTTGTTTGAATTCAAATCTCGATGAATGATGTTCATTGAATGGAGATATGCCTAAAACAAAACATAAAACTATTTAACATACATAAAAATTACATTCAAGGCTAATTTGTTAATGGAAATATAGGATAGAACATTTTGTAGTTATTAGTATTTATTCCAGGAACCTAAAAACAATTAGAAACCAAATAAATGTTTAAAAAAGGTCCTGTTTAATAAACTTAAAGAAAGAACTTGTTAAATGACATAAACGTGATCATTTTTTCTTTTTTAAAATCAGCTTTAGAATACATGGAATTTTAGTTTTAGACTATGTATAATTGAATTTTTTTTAAAAATCAGGAATTTGAGTGACTTGAAATTACCATTTACAATATTTTCTTTCATTAAAATCTTCACTTACATTATGGGATCACTTAAAAATAGCTATATTAAACATATCACACTAAAATCACTTAAAAATAGCTATAGTTAGAATTTAATAATTTGTTTACTGACTTTGATAGCATATGTAATATAGGAATCATGACGTTAAGTTTCATGCATAAAGCTATGTGTTATGTTTATAAAAATGAATAAAGCATCCTTGTTAGTAAAGTTAATATTTCCGTCATACATCTTAAAAATATATGATACAAAGTAAGAAATTTATGAAATTTAAACAGAAATTGTTTTTAAAAAAAATGGAAAGTAATTTAGCCAGTAATCAGCTAAAATCTGAAAAGTTATATCCACACATTGTTTACCCTACTTTCATTTACCGTAAAAAGTCAGATATTTTAGCTGCTTTAGTTATAAACAAAAATAATTTATAACACAAATTAGTTATATTTAAGTCATAAGATTTTTCAAAATACAAAAAGAGAAAACAAAGTAGGCTTACCATTCCAGATGCAATATCTCTAGCAAAGCTTACTCGCTGAGTCCATGGCAAAGTTTGATTAAGATCATGAATAATTTCTTTTAATGTACCACCACTGATGTACTCTGTGACTAGGTGCAATTTCTTGTCTTTATATAAGACACCAATAAAATGGAGTACATTTTCATGGCACAGTGATCGAAGTACTGCTACTTCTTTTAGAAAATTCTTTTGAGCTTCTTCATCAACACGATAAAGTTCTTTCATAACCATTACTTCGCCCGTTTCTTTGTGGGTCACCTTATAAAGAAACAGATGCTTTAGAAAAACTAAGTCAAAGAACACAACAACAATTATTATTTATATAAGGAACATAAAATCGTTGAAAAGAAAAGAGGTAGTAAATTGAAATTTATGATAAAGGGTTNATAAGTTTTATTTATTGCGCATAAGTTGCAAGTAAATAGAACTCATAAAATAAGTTCAAAATGCAGAAAATACATGGAAAAAATTACAGAACAATGAAAAAAGGGAGAAAAGAAAGATAATAAATATAACAAGAAGGCGGAAAAAATATTTCACACATATATATATATATAAAAAAACATCAAAAGTATAACTTTACAATTGCAAATAATAGAGGTACTCTAATTCAAGATGGAAAAAGATTTAAAGACTTCAGCTTTTTAACCCTCCCCTAAAAACATGTTTTTACTATAAGATATTTTGAATAAATGAAGATCAAGGATTAATTTAAAAATTAAAGATACAAGTAATTTATATACAGTAAAAAGATAATGAAATTAATCTTTACTTTGAAGTTGACAACCTGCTATTATTTAATTCTATTCTAAGCTTCAAATTCAAAATATTCTAATTCCAAATATTATTCTTTCAATTTAAAAATATACTAAACATAACTTCTCAGTAAACTTTCATATTGCATTGAAATTGTTTTAATTAAACTATCCGTAACTGATATAAAAACTAAAGTGATTGCAAGTCCCAAAGCGAAGAAATTTTTTTGCAGCTCTCCAGATTATGCATCCTAATGGTGGTAATAATTCCTACAGTCAGGTGAAAGTTACATTTAGAAATCTTAAATCTAAATTTCTTTTAATTATATTGTTATACTTATAAACACGGCATAAGTTTTTGTTTCTCCCAGAAATTGATAAAAAGCAAGATAGTTTTAAAGTTACTTTTTTTAAACAAAACTGTATGAACCTTGAAAAAGTAAAACAAATTTAAGTTAAAAATCACAGAACAGTCTCATTAAAGATTTCTGCAAGTGAATCAACATTATACTCACATTATTGAATATAGCTGTTCCTTAAAAAAAAAATTATGATAATATTTACTTGATTGAGATTATTTAAATATTATGTAAGCACCTAATGAAGGGTCGGGGGGGGGGGANGGGGGGGGGGGGGGGGATGTGATTTTCTTGACAAGGGGGAAGGAGGTACATGAACAATGCTTATGAAAGACATTAAAATCACTTTTAGAATTTTTTTAAATTAAAAAAAAATGCAATAAGTTTTGGTATTCATATTTGGTAAGTTTGGTAATTGGTAAGTTTCATATTCGAGTTTGGGAGGAAAAAAAAATGGAAAAAAATTTCTTCCATGAGTTTTAGGTCAGAATTTTTTAACCACTGTTACATTTTAAATTAAAGTATTTGCAAAAGGTTTTTAGGAATATATCACTTTTAAAGCATGTCTGATATTTCTAATAGCATACACTGATAAGGAAATCTTCTTGTGGAATTATAGAGTTTTTCATACATAGTTATATACCAATTATTTTTAACGCCTAAAAAACTGGTTCAATTATTTTCAAATACTGCATGTTAATTTAAAGTGCTGCAGTATGTTTGAAACATTCCGCACCAACCAAATATTTGTCGTTCAATTTGGCATTAAAGTCGGCAAATTCAAATTAATTTGATTTGGATAAGACACAAAAAAAAAAAAAAAAAAAATTTAAATGAAGAATGAAGTTTTGTTTTGTGTAAGTTGTATCTTTTTTTGTTTGAATTAAATCCTAAATGTTAAATTACTAGAGTAAAAGTCAGATTTAAAGCAAAAGAGAGAAGGGGAAAGTGATGTACTTTCATAAGCATGGGAGGAATTTGCGATTTGCTTATTTCTGCTACCAAAGATTCAATATAATTTATTGACATGAACATTGACTTTACGAAAACATAAAATTTGAACTGCTCCTTTATTGCATGTAAAATGTTGTACACAATGCTTTATTTAAAAACGTCCTTTATATAAATTTATAAACTCTCTATTGAAAGATTTTTGAAAATTTAAATACATTTTGTATTATCTAGTTGAGAGAAACGTGGATCATAACTAGGGCTGCAGGTCTGTCAAGGCGCGAATTTCCGCAAAATTGTCCTCTTTTTTTTTTTTTCTAAAATCCGCGAATTTCTCAATATGTTTTGATTTGCGAGAAAATTGTATGAAATGTAATTTTTTTTTTCATTTTCACTACCAGTTTCATGTATGTTTCATTTTTAATTTATTATTTTTATTTAACAGAATTTTTTACTTTCCTGAAGCCTTAAATTGAACATGATTAGGTATTTAGGGGAGTGAATCAATAGCAAAATGACAAGAAAATAGTTCAGAGATAAGAGATAATCACAATCTTGGGTGGTCTTTCTACACTTAGGGAGGGTAATAGACTGATAGGATTACCTTCCTGAACTCAGTAAGAGTTCAAAAGAAATTGGAATCACAAAAGAAAAAAAATGTTATAAATCAAATCTTTGACAGAAAATGCTTTACACGGACTATTGCACTGGGCAATGAAATTTCTACTGCCTTTCTTCTTATTCAGACAATTTCTCCTGGGCAGCTTCTTGTGATTTCTTAAATAGGGATCAGTTTCTTAGATGAGAGAAAGATAAGGCTTTTGTAACTAACTAGTAGTTTGAATGTAGAATGTTTCAGTTTTCACAGCAATTACTTCTCACAAAGCTATGGTCAAATAATTGTGCATTGAGGGAGGAAAATTGATGGAGATTTGGAAATCAAAGACCGAATGCTAACCAAAATTGGCAAAAGTGGTAATTCGGTGTTTGTCGGTGCCTACAAACAGTGTGGACTCAGAAAGATAGTTTTCTAAGCATAAAAATGTATTAAGTGATGAAAGACGAAGCATAAATGAGAATAATCTGACAATGTACAATACATCAAAATTCTGTTAATTTAAAGAAAAATATTAATATTGCTTGAAATTAAAAGAAATACTTTTGTTGTGTATTTGCTAAGCCTTTTTTTATTTGCTCAATTTCTGTCTTTTCCATTATTTATATAGTAAATTTTTTTATGTTTCGAATCAGCGCAATTTCCAAAATTTCCCATGACAAACTTGCAGCCCTAATAATAACATAAATTTTTCTTATCTTCATGTCTTTGAGGGAGAAAAAATACGAATTTCTGATGAAAAATATTCCAGGATATTGTGAACAGAATTTGGTGAGATTTCTTTTTATTTTTATATGACTAACTAAAATCTTGTAATGTGCATTTTAATTCCTTTGTAGAACAAATAAAATATTTCAATGGAACTCTAAAGTTTTATATTTTTTTTAAAACTAGAAACACACTTAATAAAAATAAAACTACCCATTACGAGATATTAGTTATACATCAACCAAAGAATCCACATTAAACTCAATGTATAATTTTTTTGAGATATTTGGATCAGAAATTTGTATTCTTTCAAAAAAAGCAATAGTCATAAAACTCTAGATCTTGCCAAATCTATGAAGTTTCTGAGCTAAACTATTGGTTCTTTAAGTAATACTGTGAGCTGTCAATCAAAAACTACTATTATTTTTTTCCCCATGATATCAACATAGTGAAGCATCAAAGTCACCAAGTGGAGTAATAACATGTAAAATGTCCCCATTAGCTACTTGCAGCTCCCCATGGTTGGTTTGGCAATCACTGTTCTCTAGATGGATGATATAGAATGTAATTTAGAACATAGAATGTTACTTTCACAAAATAATTGGAAGCAAATTTTGTATTTCTTTAATTCCAGTCTCCTAAGTAGAATATAGGCACATTCTTGTCTCCACAGGATATTTTCTTCAAAAAGTGAACATTTAATTAATTTTCCAGTTTCGTAAGATTTTCTTACAATTTAGGCTTAAGACTTTTAAAAGCAACATAATAAATAACTCTGATTGCAAAATCTTAAAGGATTAAAAAAAAACTTTTTTTTAAACATATTTCAGTAAAAATAGTACATTTCTTTAGACATATGTGGTAAAAAAATAGTGTTTACATTAATGAGTATTGAAATCATATGCGCAAAAAGGCTTTTGAAGTATACTTATTCGAAACAGATTTTTGAATAGTCATATTTCTATTTCGAAAGCTGAACCTCACAATATATTGTAAAAGTATAATTACCTGAAACACTTGGCCGAAAAACCCTTTTCCTAAGAGTTTTCCCTGGACTAGATCAGAAGCACGAAAAATTCTGTGATTCTTCGGCTCAACACGGAATGACTTTGTACGACTCAGATCATAGGAGTTTTTATTGGAAGCAGATGAGTCACTAAAAATTTTAAACAAATATATATTACGCTAAATGCATAATTTATTTTATTTTTTATATTAGATTAGAAATATCAGATGTTAAACATAATAACAATAAAAAGCAATCCAATTATAAAATTACCTTATTCATGCAAAAAAAGAGTGAATTTATCTTTTTTTTCAAAAAAAAAAAAAAATAAATAAAAAAAAATTAATAAATAAAAAAACTTTTAAATCAAAATGCAAATAAATTTTTCCTATATTTTAATGTTGCTGTTGCAGTTACGTCGCACTAGAGCTGCACAATGGGCTACTGGAGACGGTCTGGGAAACATCCCTGAGGATGATCCGAAGACGTGCCATCACAATTTTGATCCTCTGCAGAGGGGATGGCAACCCCGCTTCGGTAGCCCAACCACCTGCACACGAAGTCAAACACTTCACGGTAGAACAGTTTAAAGAGAACCAATACAGAACACCCTCAGTCCCTACGCAGACTGATCCAAGTGGTCACCCACCCGCACACTGACCGCAGCCAGTGATGCTTGACCTCAGTGACAATCAGTTCACTGCGGGACCTATATTTTAATGACTACTATTACCATTAATATAACTTTTTCAGAATAATATTTTTTGTTAAACTTCATTTGTATAAATACTTGGTATAGGTATCATTTCCTACCTAACTGGGGTAAGGTTGTTTGGATTTTAATATAAAAATAAATACAGTAGAGAACCATTTATCCGGTATCCAGATAACCGGGAAAAATTTTGCTCGATTTTCCCACCATTTTAAACTAGAACGAAAAAAGCGGAAATTGGACTCATCCTTGAAGTTGAGTAGAGGAAAATGTAAGGAAGGGGAAATTTCCCCCCCCCCCCCGTTTACCCAGAGAAACGTCATTTCCTCCGTGACCTTGAAGGTAGGGAAGGGAGGAATGTTTTATTTTTTCCTTTAGGCCATCAATCAAACTCAAGGGTGTGGCATGCTGATTTCGTTTTCTGCTGGATTTACGAGGGGGGTGGGGAAAATGCATTGCATGCATATCAGTGAACAGAAAAAGAAAAGAGAAAAATATATTTATTTGACATCGACTAATAAAAATAAAATCTTTTTCTTTTGATTAAATTCTCATTCTTTGGAAGTGAGGTATCAGTTGCAAGTTTTTCTTGGTGTGGAATCACATCTGCTGTAATTAAAAATCTTGTTTTTATCAACAAAAAAAATAAAATAAAAGGAGAATTGTTTATTAATTTAAACATAGGATTATTTTATGAAGCAGATTACAGTTTTGTTTTTCTGATTCCACTACGTTTGATTTTTTTTCTTTTCGCGATAAATTTCGTACTCAATAAATTAATTCTTTTTATTCATAAATTTTATCATTAGGTTTTTTTTTTTGAATTCCGTTGATCTTGCCTTGTTCCGGGTTTTAATATTTATGCTAGTGCCTTTTTTAACTATCGTTTCGGTTCGATAATTTTCAAGTGTTTTTATTTAGATTAATAAGTTTTCCTTTTATTTTATCGTTTCCCCCCGTATAATTAGGTATGAAATATATTGCGTTATTTAATCATTGGTTTTGTTTATATTATTTAATTTAGGAATTGTAATTATTTTTAAAAAATAAATATGAGAATTTTGTATTTTTTAAACTTGATTTTCTTGTCTAAACTTGCAAATTTTTTTATTCTTTTAAATGTTATATTTCTACCTTTTTTTTTTCTTTTTAAAGTTAGGAGTACCTTTCTTTTTTCTCTTACTTTATGCATTACACTTTTTCCTTGTACTTCGGGTTCGATAAAACATCGATTAACGACACTTTTTGGTCGATCCAGAAAACCGGGAAATTCAGATATCCGGGATAGCGATGGTCCCGAGCATCCCGGATAATTGGTTCTCTACTGTATCAACTTATGTTCACAACAATGGCATTGTCAATTAAATATTTATTTTAACTTGCATATTAATTTTTATTACAAATATCTACAAAGCATTGTTATTTGAGTACTAAAAATAATTGTTTTTTGTAGAGTTAAAAATATAAGTAATAGAAATATTGGTACAAGTTTACATTTTAAAAACAATCATATTAAAATGGGTAAAAAGTTTGTAACACTGTGAAAAATAAAAAACATAAAAAATAAATAAATCAAACTCACAAAGATGTTTTAAGTAAGTATTGGTTACTGATATTGATATCACTTAATGGGAGGAGCTCTATAAATGATATTCCTTTACGTTAGCCAGACAAAAGGAAAATTTTTTTCAAAAGAGCAATGAATTCAAAATAATAACAATAATAAATAAAACTCAGTAAGAGTAAGTTAAGAAAGGGTTGATCATTAAATAACAATATTATTCAGGAAGGGGGGGGGGGAGCAAGCCCTGAATGATATCTTTCAACCCTTTAAAAGCATTTTTAAACAATCTAGTAATTTTTTTTAATATGTATAAAAAGTATAAACAACCAGACATAGTTCATGTTATTAAGGCCAATCACATTCGATGACTGGGACACCTTTATAGATCTGAAGACCAAAACCCTGCAAACAAAGTAGCTTTTTTTAAACCAGAAGTTACAAGAAAAAGGGGTCGTCCGAGTAGGTAGCTGGACGCAGTTGAGAGGGACCTAAAGATAATAGGAATAACTACCTGGAAGGCCATGGCACAGAATAGATCATGATGGTAAAACCTTATTGGGACGGTCTTGGCCTGTCATAGGCTGTAGTGCCCAAGAAGAAGTAAGCTTTTGACTCATACTTTAAAACAGCATTGATTTTAGCTTTTCCCTTGTTTAATCAATAGATGCTTATATAGACTCTATGGACAGTCACAGATAGTACAGGTCATCCGAAGCAAGAGATTAAGATGGCTTGGCCATATCTGGAGAGGTCCAGAAAACAATGCAGTACGAATCGCAACCTTTAAAAATCCTTCTGAATCTTGGTCCAGAGGAAGACTTCCAACAAGATGGCTGGATGACACTACTAAAGATCTCAAAGTAATAAAGATTAACAACTGGAAAAAAGTCGCCATGGATAGGAGGCATTGGAGACCACCCGTGGGTGAGGCAGCCAAGACCTGCAAGGAGCTGTCGTGCTGAAGAAGAAGAATCAATAGATGCATACAGATTTTTTTTTCAAAACACCCATGCCAATATATTCACAAAGACTAATAAAAATTTCTGATGAAATATTTTAAATTTTAGAAGAAGTCGGCAGAACATATGGAAAATTAATGTGACATAGATTTATTAAACCTGAAAAGCATATGACTCACCAAGCAAGAAATCTTGGCAAAGAGGAAGATCTTTCTTTACTACCCCGTTTAAGTTGGCGTGATCTTCCATCTCTTTTTTTGTACAGTCTTTCTTTCGTTACTTGCTGATGTGAATATGGAATGGCTGGATGTTTAGGAATAACATTGGGATCGTGCTCAATGGTCAGCTGCAAGGGCTTGTTAGCAGTTTTAATCAGTTCCTCAATCTGGAAGAAATGACAAAACTGAAGTCATTTAAAAAGGAAAAGGAACAATTGAGAATAACACTTTTTAAGTAACAGCCTCTTACTTCTTCTAAAGCTTGATTTTTGACTGGCACCCCATTGACCTCGAGAATACGATCTCCAACGTGAATTGACATCAGATCTGGGCTCATATCAATACTAAATGAAAGAGTTGATGGAAAATTTGTAGGTTGCTTTATAAGAAGTATATGTTAAAAGTTTTATCATACAATTCAATAAAAAAGAAACAGCACTTAAAATATATTAAAAAAAATTTTTATATGTATTACTATTGCATCAAGACTTCCTCATTGTTTCAGCTCAGAGGGAGAAAAAAAAACTAACGATAAAAGTTCATATGTTAGTGCTCTTTCATTTTAAAACCAAACATGCCATCAAGACAAAAATCCTTACATGATGATTAAAATGTATGCTTGGCTTAGCACTGTCAGGAAATGTGATGTCATAATGGTAAGCAAAAGTGGAAGATGATCTTTTATTAATCTATATAAATGGTACTTACAATACGCTTATTTTAAGATACCTCGAAGTTTAGAATAAACCAATAGATTACCATATATTTTCGAACATAAGATGAGACTTTTTAGGAAATTTACAAAAGATAAAGTAGGAAAGTGGCTTATAATCAGATTCCCTTTATTTAAAAAAATTCCAGGATAACATCGCTAAAAGAAATACTTCTCCTTTTGTCAAGCATTAGCAATAATCAGTAAAGATCGTAAAATATACATACGAAATCTAAAATAATAGCTAAAAAATTGAAATATTAAAATTTAAAAAGAAACACTTCAAAAAGGACAACTTGAAAGAAATACTACTATTTTTTAATTTTCTAATAATGAATTAGGAAGGTTCATGCTTTTTTTACTCATCATTCACTTTTTACTGGATCTACCATTACTACAATAGATGAGGGCACATTTTTATTTCCAAGCAGCGGCTTATGTATGAGTTTTGAGTGAATTTCTAAATAAAAAGCATACTCTTTAGCTTTCACATGGATGTGCTTAGATTTGGAAATACAGTGGAACTCCGATTTTACGTTGTCCGTTTCGTACATTATCCTGCTTCTTACGTCATTTTCTGCTGATCCGTAAAAATTGCCTATACTGATAATGTTAAGAAATCCCGGATTTTGCGTTAACCCTTTTATGAAAATCCCGCTTGATGCGTTTTTCTACAAACAGATCAAAAAAAAGTTTTTTATTCTATTCGAAATGGTTTTACTCATTTTTCCGTGCTAGCATACCAAAAGAGATTTTCAGTCAGTTTTGTTTGAGTTTAAAGGCTATAGCATTTTTTCTCATCTTCAAAACCTCAGTCATCATGTTCTTTTCTCGAAAGAAGATGTTGAAACGAAAATGCTTTTCTCTGGCCGAAAAGGCTGAAATCATCGAAAAAGCTAAAGAAAGTTGATCTTGCCAAATCTTTGGGTATTGCTTATTCAACTTTGCAAATGACTTTAAAGCAAGAAGCTTCAGTAGAACTAAACCAGGGTTCGTGATTTTTTTGATTTTCTTAAAAAAAATCAAAAAAATCGGATTATTTTGATTTCTATTCAAAAACACTATAAGAGCTTTAATTTATGATTAAAAAAACCTTATAAATGTTTAATCAAAATTAAATTAATATTAAAACTATATTATAACAATATTTTAGAAGCTCTAACTTACTAAAATAATTTTTCATTATAATGCATAGCGACCATTTTGATACAAAGGCATGATTGAAATTAAAAGACAAGATAAAATAGATAATTTAAAGAATACTACTTTAACTAATAACACAAAGTTTCAATTAGCACAGCATAATTTTAATTTAAAATTGTGATCTCTTTTTTTTCTCATGATTTATAAAATGGCAAAATAAATGCAACAGATTGTGTTTATAAATGTTGTTATTCATCAAAAAATAAATATTCAATCTATATATTTTTATGTTAAAATATTCATTTTTAATCCTTTATCAAAATACATAAGTTAAGCTAAAAAACATTTTTAAAAAAATCTATGTACTCATTGGAATTTTTTTTCACAAAAGAAAATCTGATAATTTCAAAGATACCGTAAACATATTATGAGAAGAAAAATAAAAACCAGTTAATAACCCTACTGCTTCAAATAGACTTTGATAGGGAAGAATGACACTATATCAGGAAAAAAATATCTGAACTCAGCTTTTTTTTTTTTTTTTATTTTTGGCATATTAAGGTAATTTCTTTTTAATATAACCTCAAGCTTTAGAAATATAGAAATTTCCATCAATAAACTATAATGTAGATTTGAATTTCATGCTTTTTTAATCAAAAGGTAGAATTTTAATTAACATTTGCTTTTTGAAAAAAAAGCATGTTTATTTACTTTCTACAGCTATGCAAGTCTATATTAAGACAGCATTAAATATTTACTTTAATCTGTACTTTCAATGTTAAGAATCAAAAGATTTTTAAACATGTAATTTTAAATGTGTTTAACACACTCCAAGAAAGAAAGTAATTTCGTTAACTAAAATTAATTAATGCAGCAATTTATTTAAAATAAATTTTAAAACTAAGAAAAGAAAATAATAAAAGTATCAATAATTTAAAGCACTGTTTTTTAACTTTTAAAATCAATATAATATATATATAAAAATCAGTTGATTTAAATCAATGATTTTTTTAAAAAAATCATTTGATTTTAATCAAGATTTAAATCGTGATTTAAATCAAGCTGATTTAAATCAAGCTGATTTAAATCAACGAACCCTGAACTAAACGCTGAAATACTCGGAAAATAAGCCAAGAAGAGAAAAACCCTTAAAACATCTTCGTACGATGAGTTAGAAAACATTTTAATGAACTGGTTCAAGGAAACCAGAGCAGCAAAGATACCTATACATGGATCCATCCTGAGAGAAGAGGCGCTTGAAATTGCTGAAAGGCTTAAACTCCAAGGCTTCAGTGCTTTAAACGGCTGGATCGATCGATTAAAAAAAAAGGAACAATTTATGCTTCAAATCTATCTGTTGCGAATCCGATAGTGTGGATATGACAATTGTGTAACAGTGAAAATAAGAAACTCTGCCAAATTTATTAAAGGGCTATAATCCAAGTGACATATTTAATGCGGACGAAATGGGATTGATTTTCAACCTATTGCCAAACAAGACATTGACAATTAAAGGTGAAAATTGCCATGGAGGAAAGCTTTCAAAAATGTTGTTTTGCTTTGTGCAAATGCCGATGGAAGCCAAAAGTTAACGCCTCTTGTGATCGGTAGAGCAGAGAAACCACGGTGTTTCAAAAATATCAAAAGTTTTCCTACCGATTACACTTCAAACAAAAAAGCATGGATGACGCAAGCATTATTTAAAAATTTTCTTCGAAAACTGGATAAGAAAATGAATTTTCAAAAGCGCAACATAATTTTATTCCTAGACCAATGCACTGCTTATTTAAACCTTAAATTGAAAAACGTGCGAATAGAGTTTTTTCCAGCTAATTGTACGAGCAAACTTCAACCACTGGTTTTAGGAATTATAAGATCATTTAAAGAGAGTTGCCGGAAGCAACTGGTTAGAAAATCTCTAATGTTTCTTGATTCCGGTTACTTTCAGGATGCTTCTAAGGCGAAAATTAATGTTCTTGAGGCTCTTAATTTGATATCTTCAGCTTGGGACAGTGTCGACCGAAAGTGCATTATCAATGGATTCAATAAAGCAGGATTTTCAATATCGGAGGAGGAGAGCACTGTTGTTTTGGAAGAAGGTAGCGTGTCTGAAGTTGAGGACCTTCCGGAAGTCGATGATGCATAACATTTAATAATCACATCGACTGTGACACAGATATCATTACTTCAGAAATCCCTTTCATAAGAGATTTAATGCCTGATTCCGACGATAGTGCTGATGACGATGAAATAACAGAAGACGTGCCAACAGCTGATCAAGCAACACAAAGCATAAAAACTCTAAAACAATTTTTACTTGCAAATGTAAATCAAGTAGAAAATTTGCAAAAAATTTTTAGTATTGAATGAGCTGTATACGAAATTGTAGCTAGAAACGAAAAGCAAGTAAAGAGTACTCATTTTTTCCATCAATTTAACTGGTAGGTGTCAATTTTTAAAAATATGCATAGATTTTTTTTAACCCCGATTTTACGTTATTCCGCTTCGAGCGTTTTTTATCGTTAGTCCGACAGAAAACGTTAAATCGGGGTTTCACTGTACATGGTTGATATAATTTTCATATATTAATAGATATTATCTTCACCTCACTGGAATAAATCGTTATTTTTAGCAATTAGGAAAGAATGGAAAATTTTTTACAAGTAGAGATAAAATCTCAAATACGTTATACAAAAATACTCACCTATAGTGGTACAACAATCTGAAATAAAAACCTGTTACTTTATCAAATTATGAATGAGAATAATTAAAAACTAATTTTTCAAAATTGTTTAAGCTTGAATATTGAAAAAAATATACAAACAAATGAATAGAGATAAATTAATACATACTCTACAACATGAACTCCTAATCGAACCCCACTGATTGTTGAGCATTTTGGATTATTTACAGAGAGCTTAATTTTTCTTTCACAGCCGCTGTCATTCACGGGAATTTCAACAAGCTGGATACTGTGTGGTAGGCGACTGAATTGCTCAGCAATGGGCTGCATATGTCTTTTATAACAGCCACCACTAGAAATAAAAGTTAATAAATTCCCTTACAAAATTCAAAAATAACATTGATGTTATTCGTGAAAAATTTTTTTATTTCATAAAGTAATTATATTTAAAAAAAAAAAACATTATAGTACAAACTTTATTTATATTTATAATTTTAACAAGCTAGATGTTATCTGATTGTCTTATTCAGTAATGGAGAATAGATTTCCTCTTTCTTATATATTTACAAGAGCTATCGTTAGAAATTAAGCATGAAAATACATTTATAATAGTTCAAACTTAAGTTAAAACCAATATCAATGCCTTACAGTTGTGAAAGCTGAATTCCCCCAACTTTTCTTTTAAAAGTATTAATTATATAAACTATACTTTCTATAATAACAAATAACATAGCAACAAACAATAAACACGAATTGAAACAGGAGAAAAAGTATTCTTAAGCTGGATATATACCAAATACAAGGTGTTTTGTAAAGACAGTCCTTAATTATATACTTTTAGAATTTTTGTCAAAAAGTATACACCTTAAGGGTCCTAAATTAGAAAAACAATAGCCATCAAAATCTGTTTAATCATTAAAGATGAAGGTGCCATGAAAAACCAGTTTAATTGTCTATTGAAAATTAGAGTTGTTTTTAATAATTGCTCTCTATTTCTTCCAACATCAACCTTGTTTAGTCAGATTTTGATAAATTTTTTCGTTCCTGTATTCATTAAATATCAAATTGCAACTATTACTATGTATACTTTTTTTTACTTCATTTCTCATTTTAAATTGAAAAATACATATTAAGGGTGGTAGTTACTGTACATACGGTATGTAGAACAAAAAATAAACCACAATATAAGCTAAATTATAGATTTGAAATTACATGATTTGTTAATATAATGAAAAAGCAACACATTGAGAAAAGAATAAAAAATAATATAGAATACTAATAAAATGATCACTTTCATGAAACTTACCAAAATAACTTTGACCGTTCCACCAAAACATATGAGTCCCCATCGCCAATAAATCCACCACAATTGGTACACTTGAAACATTCTGGATGGAATTTATGATCACCTGCAACCTGAAAATAGAAAATTTTGCTTTAAATTAAACACATTTCTTATAGTGTTACAAATATTTTAGATGGTGTTTGCCTCACACAAATATTTTGAGAAAGTGACTCTTTTCACTTTTAAAACATATTTTTCAGAGCAATTTAACAAGAGACTGTAATAAAATCATAAATATCAGACAAAACTATAAACTTATAGATATCATGTCACAATTACAATAAAAGGCAATTAATGGCATAAAGATTATTAATCTGTAAAATTTTTTGAAACAGTTATCAAATGATTCCAGAAGACTATATGTGAATATCAACACGCGATGTGCCAAAAAATATATTTAATTAATACAAATTTACTTGCCTTGAATTACTAGTTATTTAGCTCACAACATCAATGTTTACAACATATTGAAATTAATAATTACTTATCGGTTTGTGATTGGCAAAACTAACCAATTATTAAGTTATTATTACTAATCGATTAGTAATTAGTTTAGGTAGGAGCTTGGTAAAACACGCCCATCTTTATTATAAGTGTATCAGTAAAGTGCCATTGATGCATCAGTTGTTTATTTATTTGGCTGTAGTTGATATTTTTTAAATTAAACCTAATTCCTTTGAAAAATCCTGAGCTAACTTAAGAGGATATTCATAAAAAAATTAATGAAAAATTATATTTCTTTGTAAAAATTGAAGGGGAGAAGGGGAAAAATTGAAGGAGATGAAATTTTATAATTTGTTGAAATATTACAACAAATTATAAAATTTCATTATAATCCAACAGACAATTGCAAAATAAAGATACTTAAAGTTATAAAACAGATGGCGCACACTGCCAAGGAAATGTTTTAAATGATATTTTTACACATAAAACAACTTTATAAATTCATAAACATATGATTTATTCAATTTTGTTATAAATTTAAAACTTTAGACTGTTCACTTAATGTTTTTCATAAGACATTATGATAGATATGCAATTATTAATTATTGCTTATTTTTAAGAAACTGAAAATAAATAATTAATATGAAACTTCACTCCCCAAAATATACTTCTAGAAAAAGATTTGGATTGACTACTACTTATATTTTACAGAAACAGCATAACCCTGGCATACATAACAATAACCCTGGAAAATTTTATGCCACATTTTGAAAGATCATGAAAAAGTTTCAAGAAATGGTATTATTCATACCTATATGAAATTCATATAATAAGGTTGCTATATAGCAAATATATAAAATTTTGACAGCAAAATTGTAAGTAGAACTAAATTACAGCTTTTTTTTTGTTGATTAAGAGTAGTTTAAGGGATAATTGTCTCTTTCTCCAAAAACCAATTTTTTCAGTGATATATATTTTGTGTTCTCATTGACAAGTATGTGTATTTTGTGCCTAAAAATATGTTTGATATATAATAAGGATGCATATATGTTTAAAAAAAAAAAAAAAGGCTAAGTAACATCAAAAAATTGATAATTCTTGAAAATCATTTTTTTAAAAAAAGTAACTAATTTTCTTAGGTAGAATTTATTAAAAACATATAAAATTAAATCTCAACACAAAAGTATGTGAATTAAAATGAATCAATCTAATGCAATAAACATTAGCTGTTACATAATTATAAATATTCATTACCATAACTGGACCCGTAATAACAGCATTGCAATCTTGGCAAGACTCTCCGTACTTGGACCAATAATCATCTTTGCAAAACAAAAGTCCCTCTTTTTCAAAATACCAGTTAGATAACAAGATATCACAAACAGAGCACCTATGAAAATAAAAGTAATTATTATACTAAAGAAAGTTAAAAAGATAAAGTAAAAAAACTATAATATAGAAGTAGAATGAATTTTTAGGAAATAAACTGAACAAATTGTTCCTCAAAAGAAATAAGTTAAAACACTGTTAGTAAAGGAAGACAGTAAATAACTAAGTTAAGATAAATTAATTTTACTTTTTTAAAAAAAAACAACGATAAGCAAAAATTCCTCGTTAACTTGTAAATTACTATTAAAAATTAATTTGTAAGCTCAAAAAATAGCTTAATACACATTATTTTCTTGAAAAATTTCAATATTTGATTAAAAAAAATTCATGAAGTAAAGTTCATAACAATTTTATAATTTCAAACTTTAGTTACACAGTAAAATATGAAATTATTCTATACTGTTATACTATACTAAAGGATATGAGTTATACTCTTCACTCTAGTCACTTTCTGTGAGGCTTTTTTGTCTTATTCCTAGAGGACCACTGCCTGGAGTTTGCTAAGATTTGGCGTAGATCATGATATAGAAATCTTCCAGATTTCTTACATAATAAAATTGAAATTTCTAGAATTGTTTGGCATTATTTAAAATACTTAATTTGAAGGAATATAATTGATATTTTTATTAAATCTAAAGTAATTATTATAGAAATTAGATGGATTAGCAATTAGAGATTTGACAATAATTTTTAAACTAAAAATTACATATATACACTTTACCTAAAACTTAATTTGAAAAAATAAATGAGACATTTAACAGGTTTTATCAACTGTATTATTTTACTTGTAATTTTGATATTTAGAGAGGAAAAAATCTTTTAGATTATTTGTACCAGTACATTGTTGTGACAAAAAGTTTCAATTAGATATTAGTCAGCAAATTTAGAGATATCACTATATTTTAAGTAAATGATGATATCTGCTCAATAATATTAAAAACACTGGTTAATGAAAGCGTTAATATAATACCCGTTCACTGAAATTAAGAAACATCTTAGTTAAGTCATACACAAGATTGAGAAAAATTTTTTAAAATTTTAAATTAACGAGTAAACTAAAAGCAATTCGTGTTGAAATAGAACATAAATTTCTTTCTTAACGTTTTACCTAAAGCAATCTACATGCCATTCATTGCTTAACGCCTCTAAAAATTCATCATCGTCGATGATATTCATGCATCCTGCACAAACACTTGAAGATTCATCTGCTAAATTAAAAAGAATAAACATAATTAGAAACCCATAAACTTGGCAAGACAATGTATAATGAGAAAATAAAATAATTTGATGAGTTTCAATTTATTACCTGAAGGAGATGGTGAACTATCCCCCATATCTTCATTCCTAAACGTCAACACATATTTATAAATTCTTAACTCACGACGATGAAAGCTTCTGATATCAATCAACATACAGCTTGTTGCCAAAAGTTATATGAAATTCAAATGAAAATATAGAAATCGAAACCGAAACCAGTCAAATTAAACTTTTGACTTTTACCTAATTTTCCTGTTTAAAAAACTGATTTTGAAAGACAAATAATTTACTTTATAGAAATGTATTTGCCCACCATTTGCGATTTATCAAAAGACGGGTGCTAGATGTGTCTTCTTTTGTCATTCGAAACTCGTCGCATATTTTACTCACTTCAGATGGAGTATTATTGCGAATTGCATCAGCTAGTGACGTTCTCAACTCAAGATAATTTTGATGTCTATTTTTCTTCTGCATGCTTTCTGATTCAACTTTCGGTGTTTTTGACACGTTGGAGTTTGATAATTTAAAGCGATCGCTTTCGTAAGAAATTATTTGACCTGGTGAGTTGATTATAGTGCTATCAGAATTTTCAACTCCTAAAATCCACCATGGTGGAACTAAAAAATATAAAAGTTACATGCACTAAAAGTGTGTCATCTCTTCCTATTCTTATTACATTTGAACTCACACCTTCAGGAGCGACTAGCATTGAGTACGGTAATGTGATAGGATTAGAAATCCATCGAAAACCATCTACAGAGTTGATAAATTTTACATCTGTGAATTCGATCTGTCGATTTCTGGCACGACAGTTTGCTCCTTCTCTTTATGGCAGTACTATATTGGAAAAAACTGAAATTGACCATTGGCTAGAAACTTGTAGTCGAAAATATTCTGTCAATGAATTCAAAGATTGTGTACAAAAGCTGGATTGCTCGTTAGTAATGGTAACTTTTCTAGTAGGAGATGCTATTACCTTAGCCGATATCTGTGTTGCTAGTACTTTGTTTAGCAATAAGCAGTTTCATAGCATGATCGCTGATAATACTCTACCATCAAATGTAAAGAGATGGTTTTCATATTTAAGTGAACAGCCTGCCTTTCAGAAGTATTTCAAAATGTTTCCGATGACTTCTGTCACTAATGCTAAAGAAAAGACTGAAGATAAAGGTAAATTCGTTGACTTGCCAGGCGCTGAAATGGGCAAAGTTGTGGTACGATTCCCACCAGAAGCAAGTGGTTTCTTGCATATTGGTCATGCCAAAGCTGCACTTCTAAATGCTCACTATCAAACAATGTTCAATGGAAAGTTAGTGTTTAGATTTGATGACACTAATCCAGAGAAAGAGAAGGAAGATTTCGAAAAAGTAATTTTGGAGGATGTTGCATTACTTCAAGTCAAACCAGACTTCTTTACTTATACATCAGACCACTTTGATGATATCTTAGGAAAATGTGAATCCTTAATTAAAAATGGCATGGCCTATGTTGATGATACAGATCCAGAGACTATGAAAAATGAACGTGAACAAAGAATGGAATCCAAAAATAGAAATAATGATGTTGCCAAAAATTGGAGCATGTGGGAAGAAATGAAAAAAGGTACAGCTTTTGGGAAAACTTGTTGTGTTAGAGCTAAAATTGATATGAAATCTGATAATGGATGTTTACGAGATCCTACTATTTATCGTTGTAAAGATATGCCTCACCCAAAAACGGGCAACAAATATAAAGTTTACCCAACCTATGATTTTGCCTGTCCAATTGTTGACAGTAAAGAAGGCGTAACTCATGCCTTGAGAACTACCGAATATCATGATCGGGATGAACAATTTTTTTGGTTTATTGATGCTTTGAAGTTGAGAAAATTGCATATCTATGAATATTCTAGGTTAAATATGACAAATACTGTTTTGTCTAAAAGAAAACTTACCTGGTTTGTCAATGAAGGATATGTTGATGGTTGGGATGATCCCAGAATGCCAACTGTCCGTGGTGTTCTACGAAGAGGAATGACAGTAGAAGGTTTGAAGCAATTTATCGTTGCTCAAGGCTCTTCACGTTCTGTAGTAGTGATGGAATGGGACAAGATCTGGGCTTTTAACAAGAAAGTCATTGATCCAATATCTCCTCGCTACAATGCTGTTGAGGTAAATGCTGTGTCTGTTATTGTTGAAAATGCTGTTTATCAAGAATTGCAGGTTGCTAAACATCCAAAAAACCCTGAACTGGGTACAAAAACTATCTTTGTTGGACCTAAACTTAAGATTGATAGGTTTGATGCAGAAGCTATGAAAATTGGAGAAAACGTCACCTTCATTAACTGGGGGAATCTTCTAATTAAACGTATAGAAAAGAGCTCTACTGGAGCTATTAATCTGGTTGTTACTGAGTTGAATCTTGAAAATAAAGACTATAAAAAGACTCTTAAAGTTACGTGGGTTGTTGATACTGAAAATATTCCTTTGACCCCATGTATGTGTGTTTATTTTAATCATCTTATCACTAAACCAGTTTTAGGTAAAGATGATGATTTTAAAAAATATTTAAATGACAGTACTAAGCTAGTTGTACATATGCTCGGTGATCCTGATCTTGCAAAATTAAAAAAGGGCGATATAATTCAAATTCAGAGAAAGGGTTTCTTTATATGTGATGAAACATATGATCCTGATACTTTGAGACATGTAAGTGTTGCTAAGCCTGTAGTATTGTTCTCGATTCCAGATGGAACCAAGGATACTTCATCCCTGCCCAGTCTAGTAAAACGTTTATGGTACAAAGAGGAAAGTGAGAAAGAAAAGATAATTAGTATGAAAGGAAAGGATTTTGAACGATCACCTCAAGACGAAGGGAAAGGTATTATACAAACTGGTGTTGAATTGCTGAGTAAAATAAAAGAGCAGGGTGATAAAGTTAGAAAAATCAAAAGTGATGGAGCTAGTAAAGAGACCATTGGTGCTGAAGTCAAAATATTGATGAAGTTAAAGGAAGATTTTAAAAATTGCATGGGCATGGAGTGGAAGCCTGATATTAAATTGGAAAACCCAGTAAGTGGCAATACAGTCTTGAAATCTAACAGTAGTTGTACAAACTCTGTATTTGAACTTGATCAACAAATCAGAGATCAGGGTGATCTTGTAAGAAAGCTAAAAAGCCAAAAGGCAGATAAAGCAGCAATTGACACTGAGGTAAAAAAACTTTTAAAACTGAAAACAGATTTTAAGGCTTGTTCTAATATTGATTGGAAACCTGATTTGAAGCTTGATGCTGGTGATAGTAACACAAATGTTAGCTGCAATTCATCTGGAAATGCAGACATTATAAGTATTGACCAGCAAATAAAAGATCAAGGCAATCTTGTTAGAAAACTAAAAAGTGAAAAAGCTGACAAAGCTGTGATTGATACTGCGGTAAAGAAACTTTTAAAATTAAAAGAAGAATTTAAAGCATGCTCAAAACTGGATTGGAAGCCTGATTTAAAGCTTGGTGTTACTGACTGTAACACTAGTACTGGCTGTGGTTCGTCAACCGGGGCTGATGATGTTTTAGAGCTGGATAAACAAATAAGAGCGCAAGGAGATGTTGTGAGGAAACTTAAAATTGAAAAGGCTGATAAGTCGATTATTGACACTGAAGTTAAAAAACTTCTAAAATTCAAGGAAGACTTCAAGAAAGTTTCTAATATGGATTGGAAGCCTGATGTAAAATTGGATGCTTTAAATAGTAAATCATGTAAAGAAGGTAATGATTTAGGTAAACCCTCATGTGATGCTTCAAATCTTGATCAACAAATAAGATCTCAAGGTGATCTGGTAAGAAAGCTGAAAACTGAAAAGGCTGAAAAATCTGTTATAGATACTGAAGTTAAAAAGTTGTTAAAACTAAAAGAAGAATTTAAAGCTGTTACTAATAGTGATTGGAAGCCAGATCAAAAACCAAATAATCCATTGAAGGAGTCCACTGTAGAGAAGCAAAAGAAACAAAATCAGAAAAATAATCCAGCACCTAAGAAAATTGAAAGTAAAGAGGAAGCTGATGGTGGTTTAAAGAAAGTTACTAGACTTGGATTAGAAGTAAAAAAAGAAGACAATTTAGCTGATTGGTATTCTCAAGTTTTGACAAAATCAGAAATGATTGAATATTATGATGTTAGTGGTTGTTATGTACTTCGTCCATGGGCATATAGCATATGGGAAGCAATTCAAAAGTTTTTTGATGCTGCTATCAAGGCAATGGGTGTTACTAATTGCTATTTTCCAATGTTTGTATCTTCGAATGTATTGGAAAAAGAAAAAACTCACATTGCAGATTTTGCTCCAGAAGTTGCTTGGGTTACAAAATCTGGTTCATCTGATTTAGAAAAACCAATTGCCATCAGGCCTACTAGTGAAACAGTAATGTACCCATCTTTTGCTAGATGGATTAGATCTCATAGAGATCTTCCATTGCAAGTAAATCAGTGGTGTAATGTCGTAAGATGGGAATTTTCAAATCCTCAACCATTTATTCGTACTAGAGAATTCCTATGGCAAGAAGGTCATACTGCTTTCGCATCTCAAAATGAAGCAGAGAAAGAAGTACTTGATATTTTGGAGCTTTATACTAAAGTGTATGAACATCTGTTAGCAGTGCCAGTCATCCAAGGTCGTAAAACAGAGAAAGAAAAATTTGCAGGAGCTGATTTTACAACAACTGTTGAATGTTATATAGCTGCTAGTGGTAGAGGTCTTCAAGGAGGTACATCACATCATTTAGGACAGAATTTCTCAAAAATGTTTGAAATAATGTATGAGGACCCTGAGACCAATGAAAAGAAATTTGTTTACCAGAATTCCTGGGGACTGAGTACCCGTGCTATTGGTGCTATGGTAATGATTCATGCAGATAACACTGGACTGGTGTTGCCTCCTCGTGTAGCTCTTCATCAGGTTGTTATAGTCCCATGTGGAATTACTGCTTCTTTATCTCAGGCCAACAAGGATACATTATTAGCCAAATGTAAAGAGTTCATGGCAACGTTGCAAACAGCCGGCATAGCAGTTAAAGGTGATTTTAGAGACAATTATTCCCCGGGATGGAAGTTCAATGACTGGGAATTGAAAGGTGTACCAATCAGAGTTGAAATAGGACCAAAGGACCTGGCTAAACAACAGTTTGTGGCAGTGAGGCGAGATACAGGGGAAAAGATAACTCTCAAAATGGATTCTGCTCCTCATTCAGTTAAAGAACTTTTGGATAATATTCACGATTGTATGTTTGCCAAAGCTAAAAAAGAAATGGATGAGCATGTTGTTGTAACCTACGATTTTAATGATTTGTGTAAAAAATTGAATCAGAAATGTATTATCATGGCACCTTTTTGTGGTGATAAAGAGTGTGAAGGTAGCATTAAAAAAGAAAGTGCTGCTAAATCTGCAGCAGAAATTGATGATCCTAGAGCTCCATCAATGGGTGCTAAAAGCTTGTGTATACCATTTAAGCAGCCAGCCAAATTAGAACCTAAAACAAAATGCATAAATCCCTGTTGTAATAGAAAACCAATTAATTTTACATTATTTGGTAGAAGTTATTAAGTTAATTGTTAATTTAAATGTCAGAATTAAGAACTATTAAATTATTTGTAAGAAATAAAAAGACATACATTCATTAATACATCTGTTGGGTTTTCATGCTTTTTTTTTATATAAATTTTTGCGTTGGTTAGTGTGTGACAATACATTTTCTGTTTTTTTATGTGTAGTTTAAAAATTTTCAGGAGTCTTAAATATATTAATAAATGTATTATTTGATTGCATTAAAGTAACTATTGAGTTTGATTATTGAAACTTTTATTTAAAAACTGAAATTTATATTGAATCTTGTGCCATAATTAAATTGTGTTGAAATATATATGTCCATTGTTATTTTTAAATTTTACATGCTAAATTATATTTGAATTTTGCACTTAGTTCAAAATATTTTTAATAAGTAAATATTATTTTAAATTATCCTGAGAGTTTATATTTTTATAATTTTAAATTCTTTTGACCATTTTTAAAAATTTCTGATTGTAATATAATGGGCTATAAAAACATTGTATCTGTCTTTTTAAAGTAAAATATTTCAGTTATTTATTATTTTTTTTTGTAATGCTATAGATTGTTTTTTGTTTAGAGCATTATGTTTCTTTTAAAAGATATTTATAAAGTTACATAACATTTGTTTTTAATGTTTAAAAATAAATGAAAACTTTGAATAAAACCTAATTTCTCTCATACTAATTGTTTGAAATTATTTATTGTTTAAGATGGGCTATCATTTCTGTTGATTTTGAATTTGTTAACTAATGAGATGTTTTTTTTAATTTCATATTTTTCTCTTTTATATCTAATTTAAATGTATGTGATGATGAAAGTGGCCACAAAATGGGAAAAAGTTGGGCAATTTTATCAATCTAGAAATGTCATGTAAATTTAGATAAAATTATCAAAAAATTAGGAAAATGAATTAATTTTGAGTCCAAGATAAAATAAAGTCCAAGATTTTTCCTAAAGAAATGGACTTGTAAGTATTTTACAATTAATGCAATTCTAATCGCCAATATAAATATTTTTTATTATATTTTATCATAACAAGATATAACAGAAAAATTAATGATAAAATTTTTGTCACAGATTACAAAAATCAGGGATATTCAATAAAATTAGGCTGGAAAAGTCGGAATTTTTTAAATGTTTGTGGCCATCCTCAATGATTCTATTGGGTGAACAAGAATAGTGTTATAGTGATTGCTTGCTTTTTTTTGCTCTCTGATGTATTTAACAATATTGTTTTTTACAATATTTAACTATAGGGGTAAAAATTAAGAAAATTTGAATGACTAGAATATATTACTATGCATTTTTACTGGTCTGATATTTTTTACTTGTCTCTGTTTTTATTCATTTTTACCATTAACAAAAAATAATCTGTCTCATCTTAATCCTATTCTAAACATTGCATAGACAGTTTTTAATAGCACATTGCAGATAGTTTTTAAGGTCTAATATTAAATTCTACTTTTTTTTTCTCAGTTTATCACTGATTAAAAGGAAAATATCTTTAAAAAAAACAAACCTTATCTGTATAAATGATATAGATAATATAAATTTTGAATGTTCAAAAAGGTAACAGGGAGAATGTGTTATGTTTATAACAAGATGAAATAAGCTATTCAGTGAATATTAAATAGACCAAAATGCGAAACTGAAAGTCGAGAAACCAAAGCAGCATACTTTTCCTTTACATCGATTACTGTTCTGGAGGGCCACCATTAATTTTGTGCCTTGTATGGTTATTATGAGCAGAATTGACAGATTTTTTACTTGTCTCTGTTTTTATTCATTTTTACAATTGACTCTGCCTGTCTCATCTTAATTCTACTGTAATGTCTATGTATTGCATAGACATTTTTTAATAGCACATTGCAGATGGTTTTTAAGGTCTAATATTAAATTCTACTTTTTTTTCTCAGTTTATTGCAGGTTGGAAGGAAAATATCTTTAAAAAAAAAGGAACCTTATCTGTGTAAATTATATAGATAATATAAAATTTTAAAGTTCAATTGCAAGAAGTGCATATTCCTAAGAATTCTTTTCTATTGAAGCCTTTACTTTTAATTTTTTCCTTTTTTAAATTTAGATTTTTTGCAGTTGTAAAACAAACTCCATATATTACTCCAATAAATAAACAAAAATATAACCTAATTTTTTAATAGTATGAAAAATATAATAAAAATAGAATTTTAATAGTTCAAAAATTCCTTGAAAAGATGAGAGCTCTCAATAAAATGAAGTGATAAAAGAAACTATAAATATATTGTGAAATTCTCCTTTTTAAGACTGTTCTTTCTTTTTAATTTAATTTTATTCTTCACAAAACATCAAGTATTTTTTTAAAAGTATTTTTAACTTTTTAATAAATTTCTTAACATTTTTTAAAATTTTATTGAAGATTTATCAATCAAATCTAAATGCATACATTTTTAGTTGAAAGTAATGCTGAATTTAATGTAAAATGAGGATCAAGATGAAGTTATATGGCATTTTATGGATTATAAAATCTTATTCTTCGTCTTTTTTTTTGAAGAAGAGAGTTAGAATTTGGTTATTATTATTATTTTTTTTTGTGTGCAAAATTAGTTAATTTAATGATTATAGTTATCTGATAATAACCGACAACAAAATAATTTTGAAATTTTACTAAACATAGCTAGTATTTAAAATAAAATCAAAGTTATGCTTGTTTAAGATTATTTTATTATTTGATATTATTCATATGCAAACAAAGTTTCTATATAAATTAATTGTTTGTTAGTTAAATTTATATTTTACTTTGTTATTCTTCCTCTCGTTAAAAGAAAAAAAAAGGCTGAGTTTGGCAGAACAATACCTTCTGTTTGCACACTATAAAAAAGTGAGCCATTTTCATGAAATCTTTATATAATTGCATACATTCTTTTGCCAAATGTGTATGTTTTCTGAATATTTGTTTGATGCCATAGAACAGAAATGGCAAATCAATAGCATGCATACCACTAGGTGGCATGTTTCACGTATTTCAGTGTCATGCGAAAAGTATATGTTGAACTACTTTTATTTAGTTTCATTCACTGAATGCACCATTATTTTTCATAGCTGACCGAATTCTGAGTTTACGAGGCAGTCTTGTAATTTTGAACCCAACCCATAACACAAGGGAACTCCTGGATCAAGTATTTAGGGAAACTAATATTCGTGGAGGACTTTTTAATGGAACTAACATGCATTTGTGTTACATGGAGAGGAAAACCTCCCTCGATTAGCTTGATGGCAAGTGGATTGCAACCCATGATCCATCTACCAATGAGGATATTTTAAGTCAGCACTGGGGTCGGTTCAAACTGGGAGCAGAATTCGTACCAACAAGCCACCGCTGCGATTGAAACTTGGTCACCTTATTAAGAGGGTAATGTTATTTCTCCTAAGTTACTGAAGACAACATTTAAAGAAAAAAATAAACTTCATTACTTGCGGTTATGAGAAGCAGATTCAGAAACATGCACCATTTTTTACGCCCTGTTTTGATTTTCCAGGATGTAAAGGTGACTTAATGTTCTCTTGACCATTAAGTGTGTTTTCTCAAACCAATAAATACTACTCACTGTTAAAATATCAAAATAGTTTCGAAAAATTTGCCAATTGTCCACCTTAGCATTAGCAATTTTCATACTCTGAACTTTCAGTGTATTGGACCAAATAAGTTCATTTATTAAATTGTCTATAAATAGCTCTTGACATATATGGATACTTTAAAATAAATTGCTACTCACTAATTAGTAAGAAACTAGTTTTAAATGAATTTCGCTTTGGAAAATTTATATGAAAGAAATCACAAAGAAATGATTCTTGCTGTAGTAATTTTCATATTATGAAATTAGCGTGCATGTAATTAGCGTGAAATTAGCATAATTATGTAAATATTTTTTGACATAGATGATTGTTTTCTATCAAATTGATGATCACTTTTTAATACGAGACTAGTTTCAAGCGAATTCAGTGTTCAAAAAATTATAAAAAATCAACAAAAAGTCTACTTTTGTGGTTATGATTTTCATAGTTATAAATTAGCGTGTATTGAGCAAAACAAGTTCTTTGTTTAAATTTTCTATAAATATTTCCTGACTTATATAGTTTTTTTTAAAAAACAAATTGGCACTAACTTTTTAGTATGAAACTAGTTTTAAATGCATTCAATTATTTCTTAAAAAAATATATAAAATATTTGCTAAGTATCCACCCTTATGGTGCCGACAACGAAACTTGAAGACATAGAAGTACCCTCTATATAGAATCATGGTTCTTGTACGCGATGGTGAATTAATTCTAATACGACGGTAGTAGAATTGCAATGAAATTTGAATTCTTATAAAATCATCATTAACGTAATGGGATACATGCAAGTGTGGGTATCTCAATCCTGATTGGTTGTTGAAACGTGGTATTTGTTTGCGTTAGCAACTGTTCTTTCCATTCTATTTCGAGTAAGCCAAGCCCATCAAGTATAAATTCTCTTAAGTAACACAGTTTATATTCTTTCTCAAAGATTTCAATTCTTTCACTATATATTTACACAGAGATTTAACATAAAGACAGGCACGAAGCCATGTGGAACATAAATAAACTGATTATGCATCGAAGTTAAGTAAAAGTAGACGAGAAAGAAATATATTTTAACTAATTCGATATATTTTAACTAGTACGGCTCTGTATTTAATTAACTTGTTAACATTGTAACCTATGTAGAGATGTGCTATGTGCTTCGTGGCTCGACATAGATGTTTTCGATTTTATTGCTCTTTTCCGCTCTCCGTTATAAATAATACAGGAAATAAAGAAATGAGAAAAGAATGTTATTTCGCAGGACAATTCGCTTGGGGTAAAAATAAAGCACGCTCGGAATCTATACCCTTTACTCCCTCCATCAAATCATTTCTACTGATTTCGGTCGAAAGCAATGCTTCGGATTCGCTGCTTTGAGACTCTCTTGATCAATTTCAAAGCTTAAATGGAAAGAAAAAAAATTCTTATGCTTAAATTACTAATAGTCGTTTTTTTTTTTTTTTAATAATTTAATGTGGACTTCCTTTATGAAAAAAAAGCAAATGACAAAATCAAGCAGACGATTTTTCAATATGTGAAGGCAAGCATTTTTTTTAAAGTCACCAAATTAATTTGCAAACAGAAAACGATTTTAGACTTTAATTTCTTCAACAAATAATAATTATAAAACAGCAGACGATTTTTTTTTTTCCTTTTGTGAAACTCAACTTTGATTCAGCTCGAATTATGTTTTAGAATGATCGAAATGTGCTATTCTTCATATTATGAGAATTATTTTGTCAATTATTTACTTATTTTCTTCGATTGAAGTGAAAAATTGCGTTAAAACAACGGGGGAAAAAACTCTCTGACAATAATGTCGGAATTATTTTTTTAGTTTTGTGTTTAATTATTGTTGATTGATATCAACAAATGAATTGGAAGACCTAAAATCAAAATCTTCTACATCTGAAGATCTACAAATCCATATATCAATTTGATACAAGACATAGTATGCAGGTATTTTCAGTTATATTGTTTTCTATTTAAAAAATATTTTGAATGATTTATTAACGTAGAGTGTATATTATTGAGTTGAAATGCACTAGAATTAATCTTAAACAGTAATAAGTAGTAATTTAATTAAGATGTAATTTTA